CTACCTACCTACCTACCTACCTACCTACCTACCTACCTACCTAATTTTTAAGTACAGTACTCAGAACGAATGCAAACCAAATTAGAACAAAGAGAAACACCAGAAAAAGCTAAAGGTGTAGGAAAAAAAGAAAAAAGATTCAAAGGAGTGGCCTCTGATCGTCTTTACAGCAGTGATAAGTGTAGTTGTAAATTTATCTTTCTCTAAAGTTACATCATGGCCCTCTTTTTTCCTATGCTCGACGCTGTCTAATCCTCAAAACCATAAATCACACGTTCGCTTTTCGTCATTTTTATGCAAGAAGTCCATCGGGGGTTACCAGTCACCAATAAATGTAGAGCGTCCTTTCTCTAATCAAAGACAAGTGTTTGTCCATCAACCGTTCCGTCTTCCAGCTGGTGGACTTGCAGGCTCCGCTGCCATCTGCGGCCAGAGCCCCCCAGGACAGGCCTGTCAACCAGCCTGGCCTTGGTGCCACCTGCCCGGGGAGAATTCTTCCAGCTTTCCTGGGAAATGCCAGGAACGAAAGCAGGATTTTACAGCAGAGGTTCCCAACCCGGGGCTTGGAAATTGAATTCAAGCAGACGACTTGAATACAGCATGAAATCTTGCTGTATTGAAAAGTGAGTGACCTCTTAGATATTCTTTTCAAATGTTTTTTAAAAAAATGTTGGTGCCTTCGAGTCAGTCTTGACTACTGGCCACTGCCTGGACTAGTCCCTGCAGGTTTTTTTGGCCAGATTTTTGGAAGTGGTTTGCCCTTGCCACCGTCTTCCTAAGGCTGAGAGAGGGACTGGCCTGAGGTCACCCAGCTGGGTTTGTGCCTAAGGCAGGACTAGAACTCATGGCCCCCTGGCTTCTAGTCCAGTGCCTTTGGTCACGACACCTATCTGGATCCTTGCTTTGATGCCTTCAAATCAGTTTTGAAGCCTTGTGACTACATGGCAAGTCCACAGAGTTTTTGTTGGCAACATTTTTGGAAATGTTTTGCTCGTCTTCTTCCCAGGGCTGAGAGAGGGGGACTGGCCCAAGGTCACCCAGCTGGCTCCGTGCCCAAGCCAAGCCGAGAACTCCCCATCTCCCGGTTCCTAGCCTGGTGCCTTCACCACTACCTCAAACTGGCTCGGCTGTTCATTTAGTCACTATTTTATAACAGTGCATTATGGCCTGTCATTCTGTCTTATTTTCATTAATACTTGCCAGAGACAATGTCATTGGTGAGGACAGCCCTGAACCAGGACCACAATATAAAATACACTTTAGGTACAAACCATTACAAGAATGTTATAAAAATGTACACTTTTATTACACTTTCAGGTAAGATACAACACAAATCCTTCCAATCCTACAGGTCAAGTACAAATTTTTATGTTCATAAAGATATTTACAAGTCAGTTTATCAAGGTCCTTGGAGAAAGGGAAGAAAGGGAGAGGCCATCAGAAATGAGGAACCATCTAATTTGCATTCTCCGTGGAAATCAGACATTGCTTCTTGACATACAACTGGGACAGTGAAATTAATATTGGTGATGGGGTTGTTTCTTTATGCATATATAATTCATCGGTAGCCTACTGCCTTGTACACACGTAATGAAGATTTGTGCATTTTTAGAAGCAAAATTAGGACTACTTGCAGTTTGGTATGGCAGATGGGAAGAAGAGTGACAGGATACCTTTCATATGGGTGCAGTAATACACCAAGAGTCAACTCTTGTGGAAACTCTCAAGACCAAACAGCTTCCACGAAATGTCTTGGCTTTCAAGCAAACTATGCCCTAGCAGCTCTTTCCCAGAGACAAAATGATAAAATACAAGTCTGTGGTATAAAATGGGTTTGTGGGAAGAGAAACCCAATGACGTCTACCTTCCCTCATGTACAAACACAGGTAATTTTTTTTTTAAATTTTAAAAAGCATACCATCTCTAAAAATGGAGGCTCCAAATAGAAAGGACATGTCACTGTAAGAGCAGTAAGCAATAACAAGGGGTAGGAAATAATTCTGCCTGTTCAAAAGAGTAGAGATGACAGTGTTTCCTGGATCTCAATTTTGCAATGTCTGGAGATAGGACAGACATCTGTATCATCCAGAAGCTTGGCATCAGTGCCACTCTGCTGCACCATTGTGCATTTTAGCTAAAACATATAAACCTATAACCTATAAGTTCATGGCAAAGACATCTTCCTTAAACAACAACAAAAAAAGAAGGAAGCTGTTGTTCCAAACTGCTTAATTACATGAAAATTGAACATTAGAATCGTCTGCAAAATATGTTGAAGATTTTGGTGCTGATTCTCTCTCTCTTAACAAAAAATGGAGATTTTACTCTTCGCCCAAATGGCTTGCCTGAATGTCTCCCTCCTCTGTTCTTCCCAAACAGAAACATACCTGAACTTTTAAAACAGCCTGCGGAAAAATAAGGGCCAAAACAGTGCTGGAAACGGATGAGCCAAATTTCCTTCAGTGCGGAAGCCACACCAAAAACCAGAACAAAACATTGGATTAGCAATTAAACATTTTCTTTTTACCAATGAAAAAGAAGGGGCTGAGAAATGGTGGACTACAATTAAATACACAGTTACCGTCACATAATAGTAATATCTTTTTTAAAAAACAAACCAACCACATATCTAATACATTTATTATCTTAAACCGTGAAACGGGGAAGCAAACGCTGAAAAGATAAGAGCTCTCTGTAACAAAAGGAAAAATAACACAAACGCACAAACACACATACAGAGTAAGCAAAACTGCTCCCCGTACAAACCGACACGCAACGAGCCGATATTTTTGTTTCTTTTAAAAAAGGCTTACCCCAAAATGGCAACTGAAATATGATGCATAATTACAGATACTTACAAATCTTCACATTTATTGGCTAAACGCAGCAAGGAGTGCTTCTGGCAAATCCTCCCGCCTCCCCCCTTGGACAAGCACGGCCTGGACATCGTCCGGCTCTGCACCCCTCCCCAGCCAAAAGGTTTTCCTTCTGGCGGGGATGACGGATACGATGGGCCTTTCTGCCAGCCTTGGAAAAGCAACCTCGTGGTTTCCATCCAAAGGGCAGCGAGAGTCGTGGAGCGGTTGGGCTAACGGAGGGCTTGAAAGAACGGCCTCTCTTTGGAGTTGGGTTCGAAACCACGGATCTCTCTGAGAAGTAGAGCAGTTCAGTTCGCAGGCGAGGTGTTTGGAGCAGGCGAACGGCACGCGAGCAAGCCCTTTCCGGTGTGGACGAGAGGAGGTTTTGCAAAAGAAGGGTCTCTGGAAGAGCCTGCCTCTTATCTGCCTCCCTGGCTTGCGGCCACCGAGTTGCAGGTTCAGCTGGGCTTGTTCGGAGCCTTTAATCTGACAGGGGCTCTCATCTGCACCTTCGCTTGTTGACCCTGCCCGTCGGATGGGGTGGGAGCCTGGGCGGGGTTTTGCACGACGGAAGCTTGAATCTGGGGGGAGGCCGTCGTGACCACCTGCTGCTGGATCAGTTTCTGGGGAACGACCTGAGCCGTTGCAGTGGTGGCCGGGATGACCTGGACTTGGTGCTGCCCCGCTGTGGTCTGGGACAACGTTACTGTCTGAGGCTGAGCTTGAACCTGGCGTGGGAAGAGCCAAGCGAGAGGAAGAAACTAGGTTGGCACCTAGTTTCCTTACAAGCTATTCCAGGTGTTATAATCCCAGCAGGGTGGGTTTCTGCTGAGGGGCAATTGTGCCTCAAGCCAGGCATTCTTGTGGAACAGACGCTTGGCTTTTATTTTTGACCTACTGCTTTAAAAAACAAATTCCCCCCATGGATTTGCCTTTCGTTTCATATTTTCACAAACCTCGAGTTCCCCTCTGCACCTTCTCGTACCTTCACTGCGGGGTGAAAAAGGCTTAACAAGGATAGCCCACCAGCAGTCCTCCAGAAAATGCAGAGCTACCACCAGCAGCAGCATTTCTCACTGTTGGCCAACGAGGAGTTGCTTTAAAGCAACATCTGGATGTTGCTTTACTACAAGGTCCCCATCGCTGGCGGATTGGAGGAAAATAGATTTGCCTGGACCAAAGGTGGGCCATTTTTGTGTCTTTCTGGCGAAGACGAGACCACAACTGCACTAAACCTCAAGCCCCAGCTGCCTTCTACAGAGAAGCTGCTTCCAGGCAGGGCAGGACTGGAACAGCGTTCTAACAAACCTTACCTGTTGGGAAACTGAAACCACCTGCTGGATGTTAGCCACCGTTGCTTGTTGGGAGACCACCTGTGGGATCTTTGCAACCTTTAAGAACAAGATATTGGGACAGGGGATGCGTGATTAAACCACACAGGTCGATTTGTATTCCATCAGTTTGATGTTCAGACCATGCCTGTGAGTTGTATGCGTTTGCGGGTGGATGGAAAAATCTGGGAAAGCAGAGAAGAGCCCCCGCAGCAGATTTCCACAGCTTGCTTGCCCCCCTCCTGAGAAATGAAATGAAATGAAACAGGGTGCCTTGTTACCTGTATTTGGGTCTGGACCTGCTGCGTCCCGCCAGGCTTCTGAGCCTGAGAAATCGGCGTTGGTAGGAATTGGGCTTTGATGGCTGGCTGCGTGGCATAGACTTTCTGTGGCTGAGATGTTGACTGCTGGGCCTGGACGGTGACCTGCTGGGCGTTTATCTGGAGACAATCCGGGAGGGCAGGGTAATGATTTGTGTCAGTCTAGACTAGACCTGGAGGGACCTAAGTTCCATCCCCTACTTGGCCAGGAAGATCAGCTCCTCTACCTTGCAAAGAGTTGCAAGGATAAGGAAGATGGGGAGAATGCCCACGGTCGCCTGAATTCCTTGGTGTAAAGGCAAATCATCAAGAAGGATTAAGAGATGGATGAATCCATCGCTTCCCATCTAGCACATGCAAATCTTCAGGAGAGCAGCTCTGCTCCACCAAGACCCCTTCCTTCTCAGACAGAAACTGCCCGCAGGACCTGCCAACTTAGCGATCTTCCCCTAATAACGGCCATGTGGTGTCTCCAGCGCATGTGGTTTTGGATGACCTCTGAAGGGAACCCTTACATAGAGGAGGAGGAGAGAGAGAGACTGACCTTCTGTTGAACACCTGCCTGTCCTTGGGCCACCTGCGGCTGGATGACCTTCTGCTGGGCTGCCTGGTGGTGCTGAGCTTGCTTCACCTTCAAAAACTGCTGGACGTGCAGCGGCTGAGCCATCACTGCCTGTCCTCCTGTGCAGGGCGCAAAGAACAGAAGACTTGGCTCAGACTGTTTTGCCTCTCATCCCCAGCTGGTTTCGGATCTTGCCTCCTGCATCCTCTTCATTCTGAGCCCTGTACGCCGTCCTGTGAGGCTTGGAAGAGCTGGGGACGACTGCTACGCAGAGGGCCACCCCGTCCAATTCTTCGGGTGCCAGGTCAGAATGTTTCAGGACATTTCACAATACTTGGACCCCTGACTCCTTTTTCCCAAGGTGCTGCAACCCCTTCTGACTGAAACTCCTAATGTAATTGGGAGGTAAGACCTTTTAGAAAACAATTGCCTCTGGAAAACGTTCTCAGGAGACCTGAACTGAAACTCTGCCTTTCTCTCACAGAAGCTGGATCGCAAACTCCCCAGCAACAAGGTCAGAGCTGCCAGGGCAATCAAAAATGGTATACAATTTCTATAAAAAAAAAAAAATCCCCTCTCACCCCTATGGGTGGTCTGTGTCTTCCTTAATCTCGAGTCCTCTACCAGAGGCCTGGGGGTTTTAGGGGTCTGCGCAGGATCTAAGCTGTTTC